GGTGGGTGGATGGGGTGGGGGTAGGTTGGAGGTGGGGGAGAAGGAATGGGGGTGAGGGGAGGGAGAGGGAGAGGGGAATTACATGTGAAACAAGCCTGTTCCCTAACTTGAATTAATAATAATAAAAAGAAAAAAAATATTGCAAAAAAATAACATTGAACTCATTTCATAATTGTCATCTACTAGTGGCAAGGGTGTCTACTCCTAAGTGTTGTTTTTATAACCAGGGAGACCCCATTGGAGAAAACATTTTTTAATAAATTGTTATCAATTATTGATAGGGACGGGGCTGGTGTCCATGTCAGCTTTCAGCACTGTGCTCTATCTGGCCTAGACTTGTGTAGGCTTTATGTATGTTTTGTGAGTCCATATTTGCATAAGTCTTTTGTGTCAGAAAAACACTGTTTTCTTGGTATCTCCCATACACTCTGGCTTTTAAAATCTTTCCACTGCCTGTTCCTCAGAGTTCCCCTAACCTAGAAGGGAGGAATTTGATGGAGACATCCCATTAAGGGCTGAGTGTTCCAAGGTTGCTTACTCTCTTCACATTATCTCATGGGGGATCACTGTATTAGTTCCCGTCTCCTACAGGATGAAGCTTCTCTGATGACAGATTAGTTAGGGTTTCTATTGCTGTGAAGAGACACCATAACCACTGCAATGCTTATAGAGGAAAAGATTTAATTGGGGGCTGGCTTACAGTTCAGAGGTTTAGTCCATTGTATTGACAGTCTTTCCATGCAGCAAAATTATTTCATAACATTTATTCTCTTTAAAAAGTATCATTCTCTCTGTGTATAACTAAGATATGAAACCTGGGCACATTCTGAGTCCCAGCCTCTTACTTTCATCTACAGTAGATTTTGACCTTCTTGTGAGCTAAATTGATTCAAACTCAATATATCAAATAATTATAATAACCAATTAAGCTAGATCTTCCGAAATTAGATCTTCTTCTAATCATTTCTTATCATATGCTTTAAAAAAGATTTTGCTGAATCATTTTAGTCCAATCTCTTTGTTGGCTCCCCTGTTGTATCTCTCTTCAGACCTCATTAACAAAGCCCCAAATTCTTTTCTTAGCTCCCCAATTCTCTCCCAGTAGACCGTGCTCTATAGTTTCTTACTTAGTAAGGACATTTTATCCCAAGAAATTCATCTCCTAACCTGGTTTCATTTAATGGCATCACTCCTGCCTCTACCTCATTGTCAGTTCTATGCCTAGCAATCTTCTTGGCACCCACCCTTCTGAAGGAGATTACTGCCTAACTTTTCCATGGGGTTCCAGAGAACACGTCAGCTACCTGCTGTTCTTTACCTCTTCCTACATATTCCTAAGAATAACAAATGGCATATGATGAAGCGAAGCATTTGGTGAGCATATCTTGGGTTTTTAGTCTGCATAAACAAAATTGAGTAGTGGGTAAGCCATTTAAGTAACTAAAATAAGAAAACCAAAGACCACAATGACAACACAGCATGTATCACATCTGGGCCATTTTCTACCCAAAGAGGCTACACATACCCATACTGAACCTCAGGTGAATATGAAAAGGCTCTCAGAAGCATTTTATATCTGATGTTCTCTAACTGAGATTCTCTGGGGGAAAGCATGCTGCATTCTTTAGAGTGATTATTGTTGAGTATGAAGCAAGCCCCCATTATCTCTTGGATAGTCGAGTTTTGTGTTGTAATTTGTCACATTACTACACCTCTCTTCTGTCTAATCCTTGACCCAACTGTAACTGAGCCTCTAATGCTGCAATTACTTGTCTGTCTCACCCACTAAACACAGCAGCAAAAGTGATACCTATTTTGTTCACTATGAAAACACCAAAGCCATTCAGTGTCTGACACATAATAATTGCTCAGGAAATACACACATGTATACATCATATAATATATATACATACATATAAATGTGTATGTATATATATATGTGTGTGTGTATGTATATATAGTGTGTGTATCATATATATAGTGTGTGTTGTGATATACACATGTATATGTTGTAACATATACATTATAAAATGCAATGGGGAAGCAAGCACCTCAAACTTTAAATATCTACTCAATTAGGTTAGACACTATATGATTGAAAGGGCATCACTAAGCTGTATTATGCATTTGAATACCCTCCCACACTTTGTAGTTTGACCAGATGGGAAAAATGGAAACCTGCACCCTTGGAAATGTATATCCAGTATTCTCAGGATAGCTAACAAAAGCAAGAGTAGGAAGAAGGTGGTACCTCCCACATTCCTAAACAGAAAACAATGACAGAGACAGTCAACACAAGAGGAAAGTGCCATGAAAGGTGCCTT